ATAGGTCAGTAAGAACACCTACAAAAAGACAACAAAAAACAACACACACATACACACAAAACACGAATGTGCCCAGATAACAAGTGTAGCATCTGTTTGAACGGATGTGTCCACGTAGCAAGTGTAGCATCTGAATGAGTGTGTCCAGATAACAAATGTAGCATCTATTTGAACTGTGTCCAGATAGCCAATGTAGCATGTATTTGAACTGCGTCCAGATAACAAATGTAGCATCTATTTGAACTGTGTCCAGATAACCAATGTAGCATCTATTGAAACTGTGTCCAGCCAGATAGCTAGTGTAGCATCTGTTTGAACTGTGTCCAGCCAGATAGCTAGTGTAGCATCTGTTTGAACTATGTCCAGCCAGATAGCTAGTGTAGCATCTGTTTAAACTGTGTTCAGCCAGATAGCGAGTGTAGCATCTGTTTGAACTGTGTCCAGCCAGATAGCTAGTGTAGCATCTGTTTGAACGGTGTCCAGCCAGATAGCTAGTGTAGCATCTGTTTGAACTGTGTCCAGCCAGATAGCGAGTGTAGCATCTGTTTGAACTGTGTCCAGCCAGATAGCTAGTGTAGCATCTTTTTGTGAAAAAGTACATGACTTGTGCTCTCTCATTGTAACATTTCTATCGTGTGAAAGTACATGACTTGTGCTCTCTCATTGTAACATTTCTATGTGTGAAAGTACATGACTTGTGCTCTCTCATTGTAACATTTCTATGTGTGAAAGTACATGACTTGTGCTCTCTCATTGTAACATTTCTATGTGTGAAAGTACATGACTTGTGCTCTCTCATTGTAACATTTCTATGTGTGAAAGTACATGACTTGTGCTCTCTCATTGTAAAAAGTGTTGGACTGCAATAAAGCTTTAAAATATATTAATAAGACACGAACAAATTGTGTCAATAGAACAATATGAGTTAGCTTTAATAATAATTGTACATTATACAGGATTAAACGTTTCGGCACATGCCTTCATCAGTACAAACAAACACAACACATTTAAATAAGTATAAATTAAATTTACATAATGTCAATATATATATCCTACCTAAAACAGAAAAAATATAGGAGAGGGCGCTTAAACGTGACAAAAACAAAGTAAAGAGATGTAGAAAGGAAGTGATTCAAACATAATTGGAAAAACCAAACAGGAAAAAGACATGGCAGCTAAGTAAAACTATGGATTTGGTTCAATCCATATGGAGACAACGTACCAAATCTAGTTATTAATTTGTTCTCCATATAGATTCTATCTGCAGTGTTACTAGTATAGAGTATACCAGTAACTACAATATCTGAGATACCATTATGGTTAGGGCTATTGAAATGTTTGGAGACCGGACAGAGAGCGTGTTTATTTATGTTATAGAGGTGCTCTCTGAAACGGTCCCCAAGGCGACGACCTGTCTCTCCTATGTATAGTTTACCGCACTTTTTGCAAATGATGGTGTAAATCACGTTGCGACTTGTGCAGGTAAAGCCATCTTTTATTCTGAATACTCCCAGAGGGAAAGTGATCGTATCAGTTTCGATCACATAGGGACATGAGTTGCAACGGCTACGGTTGCAACATTTTGTGCCTTTATATGCTTTAATAGCAGGGAGGTGGCTTCTAACTAGCATGTCCCTAAGGCTCTTGTCCCGCCGGAAAGCGAAAAGAGGAGGTTTTCTAAAAATCGCATTTGTGACAGGGTCCGCCATAAGAATGGAGCGGTTTTTAAGAACCAGAGAGCGAGCTTTTAGGTTGTGGGGATGAAAAGTTAAGATAAATTTAGACCTATCGCTAGTGTCAGAATGAGTAGCTTTAAAAGAAGCCTGTCTAGTCATACCTTTAACTCGAGTGACAGCTGCTTTTAAAATTTCTTCGGGGTATAATCTGCGTCGGAAAAAATCCAACATTTCAGACATTCTTTCTCCAAAATCTTCTTCATTACTACATAGTCTTCTGAGTCTCAGCAACTGAGAAAATGGGATGGAGTTTTTACACCATTGAGGGTGGGATGATGAATATAGCAAGAAGCTATGACTGTCTGTTTGTTTATAAAAAATGGACGTAGATATTTTGTTCTCATGAAGGTTAATTCGTAAGTCCAAAAAATTGATGGTGCTTTTATGGATCATTGAAGTGAATTTAATTGTTGGATGAAAATTTCCAATGAAGTAAATAAAACTTTCTAGTTCTGTTATGTCCATATTAGTAATCCCTATACAATCATCAATGTATCTTCTGTAGTATTCTGGGAAAGGACCATTGTAACATTTCTATTGTGTGAAAGTACATGACTTGTGCTCTCTCATTGTAACATTTCTATTGTGTGAAAGTACATGACTTGTGCTCTCTTATTGTAACATTTCTATTGTGTGAAAGTACATGACTTGTGCTCTCTCATTATAACATTTCGCGGGTTAGTATTGTTTGTGTCTGTGGTTTTGGGGGAGGGGGGTATATGACTTCCCAGGGAGATAGTTCTCAAAAATCTCACATTTTAACTGGTTTATAAGGGTCGTTATATTTTGTATGACTCACGGTGAAAACTTGTATTACCTAGTTAATGTTATCCATGAGTAGTAGTATCGTATAATTGGTGGTATCATTTAGTTAGTGGTATCATTTGGTTAGTGGTACGATTTGGTTAGTGGTATCAATTAGTTAGCGGTATCATTTAGTTTGTGGTATCATTTAGTTTGTGGTATTATTTGGTTAGTGGTATCAATTAGTTAGTGAGTTGTTGTTATCATTATTTAGTGTTATCAAAAGTTGGCGAGTTGGTGTTGTCCTGTAGTTAGCGTATCAATTAGTTAGTGTTATTTTGCCACAAGGAATAAGGAAACATTTGCCAACGAGGCGTCCTACCTTAATGTATTGGAATTCACCTTCATAGTCCCGAGTGCCATAGAGTTAGGGGAAGGGAAATGTATCACAACATTTACATCTTAGATAGTCCAAGTCAGCTCGCCTTTTAAAGTGTGTATAACATTGACCATTTGATCATGTTCTACATGTGTCCACCTACTCTTTGAATCAGCACAGACCAGGTTTCTGCCGCCGTAGTAAGTCCGGTGCTGTCGTTAAAAGCCTATGTGGAGTGGTCAAGGGTAAGCATCAGCCACACCTTCATCCTACCCGCCACGTCCCTGGAGGTGAGATTGGAATGGGGCAACTAAATTTGTTATGTCAATCATTTCAGTAAAACGTTGACCGATTGAGATGTGTGAAGAAAATAAGGAATATTAAAATCATATGCCATCTGATCCAGTCTTGTGACTTATGATTCGATAAAATGACATCTCATTCAGTCATATGACATTTGATTCGGTCATATTACTTTTTTTTTCTCGTTATTTCAGAATGACACTGATGTACCAATTTGTGGATTTCAGAGAAATGGCTACAATGGGAGGTAATGCTGTAGGAATGGGATCTTTTTAAGTTGTTTTTTTTAAAAATAGGATATGATATGAAATGTATACTAAATATACAAACATGACTGATATGAGATCGCGTTTTGAAAAAGGATTTGATAAATGGCTGCTTCCTGGGTGCCACAGCTGAGTGAAAGCAAGCATACAAGAGGTTCAATTCTGGGATATATACATGTTTGGTTTTTTTTGTTGGCTTCATTTTTTGTTTTTATTTTATGTCGGTTAAATGGGTCCTGTTGATAATATAAGATAAAATAAGATAATAAGATCCTTTTATTGATCCAAATATAATTTTATTACATTACACACATTCATCTTTAGCACATAACTAAAACTGAGTCAACATTTTAAAATTAGAACAATTCAAGACATCTTAAGTATTTCTCTAATAATCAGCTATCATATAGCAAACAAAAATTAACCAAATTAGTGATAATAAATACTTATTTAGAGATCATTTAGATTTGGGAACCGCTGGGGTAGAACGCTGTGGGGGCAAGCTGGGGAATGAAGCTGTGGGAGCAAGCTGGGGAATGAAGCTGTGGGAGCTAGCTGGGGAATGAAGCTGTGGGAGCAAGCTGGGGAATGAAGCTGTGGGAGCTAGCTGGGGAATGAAGCTGTGGGAAAAGCTGGGGAATGAAGCTGTGGGAGCTAGCTGTGGAATGAAGCTGTGGGAGCAAGCTGGGGAATGAAGCTGTGTGAGCAAGCTGGGGAATAAAGCTGTGGGAGCTAGCTGTGGAATGAAGCTGTGGGAGCTAGCTGGGGAAAGAAGCTGTGGGAGCTAGCTGTGGAATGAAGCTGTGGGAGCTAGCTGGGGAAGGAAGCTGTGGGAGCTAGCTGTGGAATGAAGCTGTGGGAGCTAGCTGGGGAAGGAAGCTGTGAGAGCAAGCTGTGGGGGCACGCCGGTCAAAGCCTACGGACGAGGGAACAAGATAATTATTTATATCTTTCATTCCTGACTTTAAAGGAAAGAATTCTCCCTGATCGAGCTGATATGTGGCGAAGAGGGTGAGATGTAGGGTAGGATATAGGAAGGTAGGGTATAGTGTGGGATGTAGGGTGGAATGTAGGATAGGGTGAAGGGGGATGTAAGGGGCGTAGGTTGTGTTGTATCTTATGATGTATAGTGGGATGTAGTGTGGGGTGTAGTGTGGGGTGTAGTGTGGGGTGTAGTGTGGGTGTAGTGTGGGGTGTAGTGTGGGGTGTAGTGTGGGGTGTAGTGTGGGGTGTAGTGTGGGGTGTAGGGTTAGATGTAGGGTGGGATTTAGGATGGGATGAATTGTAGGATGTAGGGTAGGTTGTATATTGGGATGCATCATCCAACGCAGGGTAACGAAGGGTCACTGATGAGACTTGTTGTGTCCATTTATGGATTACATTGGGTTTTTTAAAATTTCATCTCAGTATTGTCGTCTCTCTTCCCCTCCCTCCAGCCAAGATCTCTGGGACACCACCGGGTGTTCTGTGGTTGATATGGACAGGAACATGTTCGAGGCCCTCAGCAAACCGTTCACAGATTTCCTCGAGTCTCAGCCCACCAATGCCACCCAAGAGAGTCAGCCGAGATTCGTTGGGTGTTCCTGCAACCACACGACAAACTTTGCTATTCTCATGCAGGTCGTCGACTTCAAGGTCACTGTTCATCGAGTTCATTCAGTTCATAACCTTCATATCAATGCTTCATGTGATTTCTATTTATCATCAATACGTTTGTTTCCATGGACTAATTTTAATGATAGAAAGATAGACATTTAAAAAATGTGTTTCCTTCAAAAGTTGTGGGCAATTGTTAACCCTTTGACTCAATGCCTAGGTGAATGACGGCGATGAGCTTGCTCTGAGTATTATCACCTACATTGGATGCAGTGTGACGTTGATTACACAAGTCATAGCGATCACCGTGTTTACCTGTATTAGGTAAGAAAGACTACAACACAGTACAGGAGAGATAACTAGCTAGAAAAGGAGTAACGACCAGCTAGAGGGTGTACGACCAGCAAGAGTGGGTGGGACAAACTATATGGGTGCTACCAGCAAGAGGAGGTGCACCCAGCTAGAGGGGTTGCACCCAGAAAGAGTGGGTGCGACCAGCTAGTGGGGGTACGACCAGCAAAAATGGGCGTGACCAGCTAGAGGGGATACTACAAGTTAGGGGGGTACGACCAGCTAGAGGGGGATGCCACCAGTATAAATGGGGTACGACCAGCAAAAATGGGCGTGACCAGCTAGAGGGGGGTTACGACAATCTAGGAGGGTGCGATTAGTTAGACGGGGTGTTACAAGCTGGAGGTGGTGTGACAAGCTGGAGGCCGAGGTGACAGCTATAGAAAGATGTGACACCAACAAAGAGTAGAAGAGCTCCAGAAATCAGATAGTTGAGGTGTCCACAGTTCTGCTGTCATTATAACCTTTGTTGCAGGTCACTAAATTCAGAACGAGTGTGTGTCCATAGAAACCTGTGCATCACCATCATGGCTGCTCAGGTGACTTTCATATCAGGAGTCAAGGCCGTTGAAGACAAGGTATTGTTACGCACTGACTTGTATTGGGAGAAATTAATCTCCTATTTTAATTTCAATTGGCTCGTTGTAAACAGTGCCTAACAAAGGACGATACCATAGAATCAACAATATTAAAGATATTAAGGGTTAAGGAGTACATTCCAGAACGTACCCGGAGTCATTATACCCAATGCGTAATTGGAAGCCGATTGTAAACAAGATACTTCAAAGGCCTAAGCCACACCCCTTTGTGAACACAGCGTCTCATGCGGGGTCAATCAGAGGGCACGCACGAGAAATATGATGTAAACAAGCTCTCTATAACAGTATGTAACCCTGCAGAGATTTTCAAAACTCTACGGGTTACTTGAGGTCACTCATACCGATCATAAAATCAGATTGTGTGTCTTGATGATCATAAATTCAAAAAGGGTGTCTTTATAATCATAAATTGAAAATAGTGTGTCTTGATGATCATAAAAAACGTACGTCCTTGTCCTAATGACAGAGACACAACATTTTGATCAGATGAACAAATTGAACCCCTAATACTATCACTTGTGTCCCATAATATTCTAAAAACATGATCACGTGAATGTTCTGTTTCCCTCTTCACCGTTCAATCCACTACTCTCATGTACACGTCATGTGTGTCCTTTTCCAATCCACTGTTCCCATGTACAGGTCCTGTGTGCCGTTGTTGCCGTGGCCCTCCATTACCTATACTCGGCAACATTTGTCTGGATGTTGGTCGAGGGCCTGCACCTCTACAACAAGGTGGTCAGGGTTTTTGGGACAGAAAAGTCCAGAATCATCTACTACATCTTCTTCGGTTGGGGTAAGATCTGCCATCATCGTCTTTGAACTAATTAGCTAACAAAAGTGATCAGCAGCAAATAACGTCTACCATATTTCTTTACCAAGTCGTGGGACTACCATTGTAGCATTAATAACCAAGTCGTGGGACTACCATTGTCGCATTAATAACCAAGTCGTGGGACTACCATTGTAGCATTAATAACCAAGTCGTGGGACTACCATTGTAGCATTAATAACCAAGTCGTGGGACTACCATTGTAGCATTAATAACCAAGTCGTGGGACTACCATTGTAGCATTAATAACCAAGTCGTGGGACTACCATTGTAGCATTAATAACCAAGTCGTGGGACTACCATTGTAGCATTAATAACCAAGTCGTGGGACTACCATTGTAGCATTAATAACCAAGTCGTGGGACTACCATTGTATCATTAATAATTGGTAAGCCAAATAAGGCAGCAGCTTTTTCTTTACAGTTATTTTTATCAATTTTCATATTTGTTACCAATTGAAAATATAAGGGCTCAAGGGAAAAACCAGTGATGTCAGGTTTTGAGAGTTTTGAGAAAATTGAATTTAAAGTTTGAAAATTCCTCATAAAAGTATGAAAATATCAAGATGTCTACGTATTTATTTATTGAGTACGCTGCTTTTTCAGTTGGACCTATGTATCATATGATTCTATTAAATGGAACCCTTCTAAATACGATTGTTAGACCAAAGCAATATCATGCGATATGGATTCAGGTTTTAAGACAAAAAAAAAAATTCAATAAAAATGAAGCTCTATTTTCCAAACGTTGCTTAAGTTTATCATTTCGAAAAAAAAATTTCCTTAGTGTTTGAGTTAAATTATTTTAACGTGTTTTCATGACGTTAAAATAAAAGACATTAAAATACGATGCTAACATCTCCCTGTCTGCAGGTGTCCCACTTATCCTGGTGGCCATCTCAGCTGCCGTGGACTGGGAAGGTTATGGTAATTCTCGCAGGTCAGCACGTCGCAATCGATATTGCTTAAAAGATAATTACCTTTAATTTATTTCAACTCATTTCTCAAAATATCTTCAAATCTTTGTTGCAAAAAAAAAAAAAAAAAATTATATTCTTACTTTTGGAACATATACGTCATGAACACTTATGGTGATATACACCGGCACATTTGATAATAATGCGTGATTATTGTGACATTGGCCGGCATATTTGCTACACCGAATCACCAAACTTATCCTTGACCTTGCAGCTGCTGGCTGTCCATCCAGCGTAGAACCATTTGGGCGTTCGTGGGACCCGCTGCCGCCATCATCATCGTAAGTACAGCGTACAGCGGCGTACCTAGGCGGTGCGAAAGTGGCCACTGTCCGGTACGGCCCCTTTGCATGATGCGTATTTGTGTGTGTTATCCCTATATATATATGTATATGGATAAAATAACTCAAACATTTTGAATAATGATGTCCTGAGAGGTTTTCTCTGCTTCTAAGTGAGATTTTCTTGTACACAGATAGCACGGCAATTTATATTTCTATCACACAATTTCCTTCTCATAAAAACCATGATCAAATTATGGCTTCTCTTGAAACACAAATCTCTACTCAAATAAATCACAGAGTCACGAGTAAGGGGAGGAAATTTGATAGTAATCTATGCAGCCCAGTTTATAAAACCCAGGTTATTTGATGTTTTATTATGTCCATTTCAGGTGAACTTGGTCATCCTTATGTTGGTCCTTCGTATCGTGGTAACTTCGGCCACTGTCGACAAACATGACAACCACGCCCAGATCAAGTAAGCACAGGGACGAATTAACATAAAATAGTGCAACAAATCTGTTCTCCTTTATAAAGCTCACCAAAAATGTAGAAAACAAGCAGTGAGGAAAATCACGAAACAAATCGTGACTAGAAAAGAAAAGCTGTGGAAAAAAATATAAGTTTTCTGAATTAATTAAGATGAAAATTCTGGAATTATGTCCTACTCATGGCTTCACTGTTGTTTGATAACGTTATTCTAATGTTGCCTTTCGACCCGAAATTTCAGTGTATGTTATATAATTGGTAAAGCGACTATCCGATCATTGTGGAGCATTAAAACCCCACTTTAGAGTCGACCAAGGCTTTCCAACCTCCTCTATACTTTAAAATGTCTTCGCATTTCCGTCCCTATTCCTCCCACCCTACTTAAGTAGCCAAGGATGTAATGCATTTTACAGTTTTAAAAAGGGATTTGTAATTGTTTATTTTCAATTGAGTTCCAAAGAGAATTGTAAACGTATGCAATCCTTTTAATAACTATGGGATTGGGGAGGGGGGTGGCTGTGAGACCCATACAGATCAATTCAGAATAAAACCAATTTTGATATAATAGTTCTATAGTTATATGGATGTTTGCAGATGTTTAATTTAGTTGTTACAACTGGGTCGGTGAGAAACATCACTAGAGCGTAGTGGGGGGCTCTTCGTCTCTCGGACTCAACGCGGCAACCGTGCTTATAAAATATTCAAGCGAAGAAGTCACATGAGCTTAATTTGATTTAAATCTTGCTAAGATCTAAAAAAAAATAATAATAATAATAATTTTAAAAAAACATTTTTTTTTGTTGTTAACTGTTTCGTTTTTTATTGATGTTCTTTTTTCCCCTAAAATATCTAATTATTTTTAATAACTTCAAAGAATAACATGAATGATGGTGTTTAGTTTATAACAGCGTGTCTTTGCCAGTTTGTTTGTTTTTTGTTGTTGTTTTTTTTTTTTTGTAATTTTTTTTTTTTTTTTTTTTTTTTTTTTTTTTTTTTTTTTTT